TGTTCTTTGTTTTTTATTATTAATATTATTATTATTATTATTATTATTATTATTATTATTATTATTATTAATTAAATAACTAAAACTAAAATTAAAATAAATTAAACAAAAAAGTAACAAAATAATAAAATGACAGAATACATCATACAAGATTTTTCTATCTTATTTTTTTTTTTATACAAATACCTTTAATGCATATAAAAACTCAACAAACATTATTAAAGCATTTCAGTAACATTTACATTTATAGCCAAATAAATGGTTGAATCAAATTAACATCTTAGCTCAACTTATATGTATAAAAATATTACGTTAAACTTTGTGTAACATTAAAAAAATAAATAGTTGAAACCTGATTACCTTATTAAAATAAATCAAAGCAATTCAAAAATATTGGTTGTCTTGATTTTTCGTCATTAAACATTTTATAGTGTGATAAAAAATAAAAAAGAGAAGAAAATGGAAAATGCACAAGACTTTCTTTCCCTTTTTCCTCTCTTTCTTTCTCCCCATGTGGTTGTATCCTGTATGCAGATGTTGTTTTGTGCCGCTGCGGTTCATTGTCTGCTGTCTGTGGACTGTTTTACAGCCGCTGGGCTCATTTAAGACAGGAAGTGAGACCCCGCGAGACCCCAAATTCATCTTTAAACGTCTGCAGAGACAGAAGCTCTTTAGCATTAGCATCTCATCCTCTCCCTGTGCTGAGGATTCTGGGCAGTAACTCATTTTTGATTTGATTTGTGTCAGCGTCCGGCTCGCTATAACCTGATTTTTACAGTGTCTGGATTCATTTGGCTGAACTGAAGGAAAACTAAGGGCTAGTGCTATTTATTTCGCTTTGCAGTATTGTGCTAAGGTGGCTCAGTGGTTAGCACTGTCGCCTTACAGCAAGAAGGTCGCTGGTTCAAGACTCGGCTGGGTCAGTGTTCATTTCTGTGTGGAGTTTGCATGTTCTCCCCGTGTTGGTGTTTGTTTCCTCCGGGTGCTTCGATTTCCCCCACAGTCCAAATACATGCACTATAGGTGAATTGGGTGAACTAAATTGGCCGTAGCGTATGAGTGTGTATGGGTGTTTCCCAGCACTAGGTTGCAGCTGGAAGGGCATCCATTGCGTAAAACATATGCTAGAATAGTTGGTGGTTTATACCACTGATAAAGAAGGGACAAATCCGAAGGAAAACGAATGAGTTATTGTTCTTTTATTATAAATAACAATAATTGTGTGTAAATAGGAGGTAAATATAGGAGTGTAAAAATAGCTTAGATGTAGCTGAGCTACTTTTGTCATGTAGCTTTCCCAGGGGGTAGCTTTTAGTGTAGGTAAGCTACATTAGAATAGCTAATAGCTTAGCTCATTACATTTTTCAAGTAGCTTGCCC